GCGCAGCCAATTGATGGAAGCAAGTCTGAGAGTGCTGCAGCAAAACAGCGTGCAACTGCAGTAACGTGGTCATAATTCTCCGGCTTACTTTAAACGATGCAAAAACCCCAACATAGCATGTATCTTTCTGCAAAATATCAGATAAGTGGTTTTGGAATGCCCTCTACAAAGTAACGAAACCCACCTTAGGTACTTTAAAGTGAACGATATAATGTTACATCATTCACCTTATTTAGTTGACGGTACTTCTGCCTTTGCATTCAATAATGTTTACTACTCAATAATGTTGAGTCACATCACAGAAATTAATGGTCTAGAGACACCGAAAGACTTTGAAAATGGGATTTTGTCCAGAGAAAAAGGAATCGATTACAATCTTGTAATCAAATGAATATATCTAACTTTTTATCTTGAAATCTCACCATACGTCTTAATCAGTGCTGCCCTAAGATTTCAGGCCAGAAAGCAGTTCCTAACAGTGCACATTGAATACCGGCCTAGGACATGCATGTTCACTAATCACTTTTTCTTAAGTGTGTAGCACCATGGGACAAGCTCTTTGAAAAAAGTCACAGCTTTGGTGCAAAGACGAAGCAATGAATGCCATAGCAACAAATTTGAAGGTCACGCACAAAATATGGCAAAAAATCGAAACGTGCCTCGCGTTTCTCACGCATAAATGATGCACGAAACGAACTCAAAGGTACAGATGAATGCAAATAGGCATCTCAGTTATTACTTCGCTGTGTCTGAATATAATGCCCCTTTCACAAACAGAGAATGTGCAATGATTGCAGTGACCTTTGTGCACCCGGTGACTACAACACAATCGTTCTGGTGAAAGCCCCAGGCCAGCCAAAATATATGATTGTCCCCACCGTGAGATAAGAGCACGCATGAGCGTCCACCCTGCCCCCTCTTTGCAGGGCAAAGTACGCCTGGGATATAAGAGCACGTGCTGCCGCGCCGTTACGATGTGACGACACGCGCTCATTGTGTCATCTTGCTGTTAATGCTGACAACATCATAGTTCCCCCCAAGATGCCCGTTACTAGCGGTAAGTGATAGGTATAAATGGCTTGTCATTTGAACATTCAATGAGGTGCTCCTTCATGGCTCAGTGGCTAATGCCTCACAATCACAACTCAGAGGTCCCACGTTCAATTCCCTGCGCCAGAGTTTTTTATGAATTATTTTTCTTTCTTGCGTTTTCATACATATAGATAAGTATACATATACAGTGAGTGACAGCTACGCCGGCGCCAAAATCCAGCCGAGAGTGCCCATGTGATTGCTCTAGCAATAAAACCAGTAAGTTATGCAAATAAAGATATATGTGTATCTATTTTGTGAATTCCTCCCCCCCTGCATTCATTCCCAAGGGTGATGTGGGATCATTCTTAAATAAAGAAAGAAGGAAAAAAATAAGGTCATTCAGCGAAACTTGGTGCTTGTCCTACTCGATACGTCCAGTGGTGCAGAGGAGTTAGATGACCTTGAAAGAATGTTCTTAGAAGTGAGCGCGGCATTGTTGACTGAAACGGCAAAATTGCAAATTGACTGTCATCCCACTCCTGAGAATAGCAGGGAATTTTTTATGGTGCCGAGTAAGGAATGTCTCTTTTCTAAGATAGAACAAGTATCTGTAAGAACGGAAAAAGAGAATTTCTATCCCGCACACTATCTCGACACATCTCCTCACCCTTTTCTATTCTCTTAAGTATATTTCCAGTGAAGGCTTTTCCATGACTCTTGAATGCCCTGTGACCTGCTGTAAATGTGCCAGACCCCACCCCTCTTCTCACCTTCCACGAAAAAGCAAAAAAAAGCCCTGCTGAATCAGCAACGTCAGCCTTTATGTCCTCGTGCAAGAACAGATGTAGGTGCTCCTTTTGACCAGGTTAGACATGTGAATGATGCCTTCCGATGACCTCCATGAGTTTCATTTGTGAATTTCATTTTTTGGAAAATGACACTAGGACAGAGCATAAAGCCAGAGGCCCACACTGGCACTGCCCATGAAACAAGTCTATCTTTTGCAATGCAGGATCAGCTGCAGCACGATGCCGGTTAGTCATGCTGTCGGCTGCTCAAAGGAGATTGCAAAATGAGACAAGCCTTCTGTTGTCTCAAATGTAAAAGACAATATCAAATGGTGAGGAAGATGGCAGTGCCTTATCGGGAGGAAGAACTTCACTACCAAGAGAGGCTTTGTGACATAAGTTTATGATCATATACTACTTGCCTTTCAATCTAAAAGACTGCTTATGCAAACATGGACACAAGAAACGAGTCAAGACAGCACAAATGCCGGCTAACAACTACGGAGGCACACAATTTCAGAAAAGAAAGAAGGCATTGAAACTTACCCGCACATGCCCACGTGTCTGTGTTTGCACATCCAGTCTTTTAGAACGAATACTTGTCAACTAACTCAGCTGTCATTTCTTGCTTTTCAAAGTCTATTAGATGAAGCTGAGGCTTAATACTGCTTGATACTGTATTAAAGTTGAACAAAACATAATTTGACATGATATAAGTGGCTCCATTTTCTCAAACGATTTTGATGGCAATGAAAACACAACACTTCTAACTTGCTCTTATTGGGTTTGGTGCTTGTAACCGGTGACAGCCGTTACAGTAAAAATTTTCAGTGTTCACAATTATCTTTACATTTCCGAATATTTATCGCTCCAGCAACACATTTTTTCATCAGAGTCCTTCGTAAAAAACTCTGTTTTCTTGTAGCGTTTCGAGCAAGCAATTTTGACTATGTGGATTGTGTTGCTGCGAGGGTGAAGATGCAACCGCAATTCGGCATAGAGCTTCTGACTGAAACAGAAGGGAGACAAAGAGCAGCTGTGGTGTGAAGCTGGAGCACATGAAGCTTGCCATGATTCGCATGGCAGCTCGGTGGTCAAAGGTTCAGGTCACGACATGCATCAACCAAGCGTCCTGCAGCCATACGGACCTGACGAACCAGATGTTTCGCTCGGAACTGATTCTCTCGGCTGGGCATCCTGCAGATATGCGGATGTTGTGAGCTTGATGCAAGCTCTGCTCCTTGTGACTGGCCAGCTGCCAATGTTCCTGGCCTGAGGACCTTGGGGTTAATGGTGTTCGTGGCTTCACACCAGAGGAGCGACTGCCAGAGGGTCAGCTGTTACGAGGTGGCCGCAACTCGTGCCAGCGACTAGCCAGGGGCCTGTCGGCCTTCTGTTTGACCCCTACTTTGTCACGGCCTGGTCAGGTCATCTGGAGAAGTGCAGGATCTCCAACTGCCTTGTCGAGTGTCCACAGCACGAAACCCCAACGCAATGATGATGACTGACTTGCAGGTAAGACAGCATGGGTGCATAGACGCATGAGACTTTTGATAGTGCAAAGGATGGTTATTAGTGCATGTGGTATTGTTTCTAAAGTATCGAATCCTATCATTAATTGTAATATATGACTTCGTGTCTTTACGTACCTAAGACACTATCATGCTTGTTACATATTTTGGTTTAGAGCCATTGTTGTGAGAGCATGTGCAGTGTTATGATCGGACTTCAAGGCTTGGCACCACTGAACGATCAGGATTTTAGCAGAGTCTGCCCTGCTCTATTCAGAGTTAGCATTCCACTAAGTGCACCTCAAATGGTGACAACAAGGCAGCCGTGCTCTGAATCTATCAGGGCTGTCAGTGCATTGTGTCAAACCCCTTTGGACACACCTGACCAAGTTTGGCGGTTCTATGACCTAGGAAGAGCTGTTTACAGTCAAAGTTGCTTGAAAATGATAGTCAGCTCTGTGTTGCTTTGTTCAACATTCTAGGAGAAGCACGGACAATTAGCCAAGCACTTGGGATCCGTCTTCAGGCACATTTTTCACACTCTGAGGTGCCCACAGCTAGCCATCAGCTACGTCGCAGCCGCTATCGAGGAGTCAACATTGCACCTGACTACACATCTAGTTTGCAAAAGTGCTCTGCGCAGTGTCGTATAGTGTCTTGTGTTTTCCTCTCCCTCACTATCAGACGAATTGGACGTGGCTTTTTGCTATTTTCTGTGTTGGAACTAAGGTGATGCTTGACGTTTACATGATGTAATGAGACTGCCCTGCTTTTGCCACTGGCTTGCTTTTGAGCCGCAAACGATCTGAAGCTGAAGCTCAGTCACTCAGTTCATGATTTTCTTCACACAGCTGCTGGGTGCAACCGCAAATGCCTTTTCCGTTCAATGCTTATCATTTTGTTCGCGCTTGGCCAGTGTAGTACATAATCAGAGTGGCTGCTCGTCCGCATTATCAAGAAAATCAGCTTGACACGAGTGATGGATGATAACAATGGCATAGAATAAGGCAAAAGTCACCGCTCCCCGATACCCTGTCTCCATCTCGGTGTTGTCGGATACACTTTGATGGCAACAACTGCTGGTGTTAACGTGTCAATGCAACTGTTTGATAAGTTTATGAAAGCAGTTGTAGGCGTTGTTTCAGCGTGCTTTCCACAATAGCCTCGCTATGCATGACTGAGAATCACGTCGTGACGCTGCTGAGAAAGAATAGGAAGCAGCGGACACTTTTTTAAACCTTAGAATAAACATTTCTCTGTTTTACTAGCTCAGATCAGCTACATTTTTTTCAATTTGACTACAACGAAATTTTCACTTGAACGAAATAATTTCTGCGCTCCATGAGTTTCGATGCAGCAGGGTTCGACTGTATTTTGCACACCTCATTTTATACACCAATTATAACAGTGGGTTTTTGTAAACTAACCAGGGGACAAAAGCATGTCATGGATTATCCATATATAGCTGCTAGCTCACACCATTCAGTCCTGTTATTTAGTCCTGTTCATAATACGTAGTATATTAGTTGCTATTAAGAAAATGAAGACACCACTTTTTACTTCAAGTCAGTCAGAAACATGCTTGAGGCTACCATCTGATAAACAGCATGTATCAATTAACACAGGTTGTACATACACTTTTATAGCCAGTAACAAGATTGTTTACCTGTTTCAGTAGAATGTTGATGCCATCGACAAAGTCTGCTATGATAGCCAAGTGGAGAGGCCTGTTTCGGGTACCATCATCCACAGCAGCATTGACATCAAGGCCGGCTTGGCAGAGTGTTTGAAGGGCATCAGTCTTTCTCCGCTCCACAGCAAGATGCAAAGCTGTCTTGCCTGTCGTGGTAATGAGAAAATTTGACTATATGGCAAAAAGTTGTAGATTAAAAAAAAAAAAGAATTCTAAAATTCTAATGCATGGGCAGTCCAATGGGCCCACAAAGCGGCTGAAAGGCTAGGTCTTTCGGTGCCAAAATGAGAGTGGCCCGCTTGGGCTAGGACACTAGCGCAGCCTATTGGACATAAATTAAAATTTTTCATTCATCTGTGCGTGAATATATACTCCTTGAAGGTTTAGTCTACTAGATCCATCAAAATTACTCGGCAAACTGGGCACTGCCACTTAGGGCACAAGTGATACTAACAGTTACAAGTGACCAACGAGAAATGATTGACAAATGACCATAAAAAACAAGGTGCTCAATAGGACTGCATTCTGGAGTATGATGCATCCAAGTACAGTAACAAAATGACAAATAGTGCCAAGCCACAATATAAAAATTATTAGAGGCCAGATTTAAAGGCCCCCAAAATTGCAAATACAGGCACAATAAATTTTTACAATTCAAATTTTCAAAGAAATATGTGTGGGACCTGTGCCTACGACAGAAAAGCAAGAAGAAATTATTAAGTTTATGACGGTACAAAGGCAACACTGGTTTTGCACAGCCATGCAATTTTTTTCTCGTAGGGTTTAAAGAACATGGCCTCTATTATCCAGCATGGTGACTAAAGCGTCCACGGTCAAAAAAACATGCTTCCGGGTCTCTTTCATTTCGGCGTGGCTGAGAAGGGCCGCAGAGGAGCAAATAGGCAGAACGCTAATAAGCCAGAACGCTAATAAGCCAGAAGGGCCTTTCAGCAAAAGAGTGGCTACTTGGGCTGGTTGATATTGCCTTTTGAAAGAAATTTACTTTTCTTAGTGTGCAGGGAACGTTTGAGAAAGAAGATACAGCAGTGAGATAGGACACTGCAGTTTGTCCTATCTCACTGCTTTATCTTCTTTCTCAAATGTTCCCTGCGCACTAAGAAAAGTAAATTTCTTTCAGAAAGGCCTTTTAGCCTCACATTATTTGGGTCTAATTGCACAGTGTCAATTTTTCCTCTGTCTGTGAATGCCCTAAAGGGTCTGACACTAAATTTGAGCGTTTTGAGCAGGTGAAATGCATTCACTGGGTGCTCACAATCTTGTCAGCCAAGATTTGCACACGGGGTGCGCTTTCACAGCATATAAAAGGTGACGTACAATGAGGAATCATCTTGCATACATCAAAGTATATAACACTGCAAGAATCATCCGAGGTTATGTGTGTAATTTGTGCAATCTGTTGCTTGAATATAAGAATGAAAGTGGATAGAAATACTAAAACGTACAAATGAAATTTGTACACATTTCTTTCTGAACTTTGTATCGAGCAAAATGCAAGACTAAGCCGCCTTCATTTCATCTGCGTTGGTGTTCTCGCCATTCTCGAATCGTGCCGATGCCAGCCCTGGCAATGCTTGGCATATTTTTGGTGCATCGTCCCTCAAAGCAGTTCCAGTGGTGAAACTCCTGGTATTATGGTAAGGATACATGATAAGTGTGTATCATGGTAAAGATACATGATCTATGCCAGCCTCTCTAAACTTGTGGACCTAGAGGGTTCTATCCCGCAAAAACAGACAGTATATACAATACAGAGAACGCTGAAACTACTTGGGTGTGTCATGCAAAGTAACCTTGTGTGCAGATGACATGTTGATGCACCTGCGTCGTGTGATCTTCCGGCTCCGAGTCGCTCCAATACAGAAGTGGGCAAGGGAAAAATTTGGCATGTGAAGTCTACACCCGGCAAGTGGGAAAGTTTTCAAGATCACTTCTTCACATCATGCTTTCATGACTCGTAATGAATGAATAAAAAAATTCTAGCGGTACAAAGCTTTCATGGGGCATGCAACAACTTCTAGTGCATGTCTAAGCAATATTTCTCTAGTATAGTGAAGCGCCATTTACAAAATAATTGACAAACAAAACAAAAATCACGTGGACATAATTTTTTTTATCTACACTGTACGTTCGCCTGATGACACTCATTGGTTTTGAATTCGTTCTTCATCGTCCTGTGGCTGCACAGAAGCACCCCCTGTTTCTTACGTATGCGAGCAGATGCCAGGAAGATATTGAGCAGATGATGCAACAAGAATGAATACATGTGTAGAGGTTGATTGGCCTTCCTATTGGCTAAAAGGCTTTGTAGCCTTGAAAGTGGTGAAAGGAACTTATGAGACTGAGTATAGGTTGAACCCCATAGAGTTCCAGAAGCTCAATTTAGCCCGGTAACAAGAATACCGGTCTCCAATTGTACTCAAAAGCAAAACTTGAAAGGATATAGGGCCAGATTTCGAAAATAGGCATTTATAGACATTTTATTTATTTATTTATTTATTTATTTATTTATTTATTTATTTATTTATTTATTTATTTATTCAGATACCTACAGCGCCCAACTGGGCATTATTGTAGGGGGAAACAAACAGGAAAAGATACAGGTAGTAAATACAACATGAAAAGCAACAAACATTATGTAGGAATAAAGATAACATCAACAATCTACACATAAATAGCATTATAAAAAGACTAAACATCACGTTAATAAGAGGTTGATACAGGTTGTACAATACGAAAAAGCAACAAAACATAATAATAAAGTAAAACTTTTAAACATAAATTAACTTTATAGATACATAACCTCATAAGAAAGACAGTAGAAAACACAACTAGGCAGAAGCTGTAAATGGTGAGCTAAAGCTCCAAATATTCCACATATGTCATGTAAAACCTAGTTAAACAAACATTCTGCGAGGGCTTCATCAAAGGAAGTCGGCAATGACAGTACAGCTTCATTCGGGAGACTATTCCAGTCATGGACTGTCCTCGGAAAAAAAGAATGTTTATATAGGTCGATCTGACACCTATATTCCCTAACCTTCAGGGAATGGTCTACGCGGGCAGATCTATAGGTAGGATCAAGTATGTAGGTTTCTTTCCTTAAGCCTGTTGCACCTATAAAAATTTTATGGAAGAGTTTCAGGCGCATGTACTTCCGCCTGTCCTGCATAGACGGCCATTCAAGATTGTCCCGTATATCGGAAGAGCTTTTTTTGAAATCATAGTTTGATGATAAAAATCATGCTGCAGGCTTTTGGATGCGCTCTAATTCGTCAATACGTGTCTTTGTACTGGGGTCCCAAGCGGAACATCCATAATCTAATATAGTGCGAACATTTGAAAAGTAAAGAATTTCTTTTAACTTAGGAGAAGCTTGCTTGAAGTTACGCCTTAGGAAGTTGAGGACCCGACTAGCCTTCGCTACTACGTAATCAGTATGGTCATTCCAGGAAAGGTCATTTTTGTATAAAACCCCTAAATATTTGTATAGCTGGGTACAATCGTGAGGCTTTCGCCATCAAGAGAGTATTTCGTATGTAAAGTATGGCATTTTGTAGAAAACTGGACAATGTTACATTTAGAAAAATTTAGCATCATATTCCACGTATTGCACCATAGTAGTATCTTGTCGAGGTCACTTTGTAGTTGTACATTGTCATTCAAAGTATTAATTTCTTGGTAAAGACAACAGTCATCGGCATACAATCTGAGACGGCTTGATACTCCTTCGCCTATATCATTGATAAATAAAAAAAAAAAGAAGAGGCCAGAGTACAGATCCCTGAAGAACACCTGACAAGACTGTTTTACGTGATGAGGTCATTCAGTTAAGAACAAGACTCTGTTTTCGGTCAGTAAGGTAAGCCTCAATCCACTAGAAAAGCGCCGTGGGAATATTAAGTTCAGACAGTTTTACAAGTAATAAATTGTGGGCTACCGAGTCGAAGGCCTTTTGGAAGTCTAAGAAAATACAGTCCATCTGTTTGCCATTATTAATCGACAAACCTATATCATGAGAAAACTCAATCAATTGAGTGTCGCATGAGAGACCTCTCCTAAAACCATGCTGTGCTGGGGTTAAAAAATTGTTTTCTTGGAGATGAGCCATTAGGTTAGAGTAAATGATATGCTCTAGTACCTTGCATGAAACACTAGTTAGTGAAATAGGTCTGTAGTTTTGACTCTGTGTGTTATTGTCACTTCTGAATATAGGAACTACATTTGCTGTTTTCCAGTCACGCGGTAAAGCACCGGAATCAAATGACTTTTGATAGAGAATCGTTAGAAAAGGGGCAAACGATGCAGCACAATTCTTTACTACATAATTCGAAATGTGATCGGGTCCAGGGGCTGACTTCACATTCACTTTTCGTAGTAGCGTTATTATTCCCTGCTCGCAAAAGGATATATCACTCATTTGTGGTAAGTTCAAAAGAGTTTTCAGGCCACTGGCCTGGGGGATCGACCGTACAAATACAGATTCGAAGCAGTTACTGAACTGTTCAGCCTTTCCTTTGAGGTCACCGGCATAATTATTGCCATCTATATTATCTGGAATGAGATCCTTCATCGTTCGCTTGGTTCTGACGTACTTCCAGACTTCTTTTGGGTTAGCTTTTAATTTTTCGCCCATTGCATCTAGATATGCGCTTTCTGCCTCGCACATTTCTTTTGCTATAATTTTACCAAGTTCCTTCATCTTGCTGAAAAGGTCTGGAGTCGGCGATTTGCAGTACCTGCGATACAGGCGGTGTCGTTTATTTATCAATGCGCGAATATTTCTACTAATCTATGGTTTATCTGCCTGACGCTTAGATGTGATTACTCGAGACGGAACGAATGACTTCGTGAGCGATAAAAGTTTGGTTTTCAATAGGTTCCATGCAAATTCTACGTCAAGGGCAGAAATGTGCTGTTTTAAAAAAGGCAGGAATTCATCAAGCTCCTGTGATAGTGAGGCAAAATCGGCCCTATCATATTGGAACACCTGTCTCGAAGGAGGAATATTGCAACGCTTTAAAACACAAGATAGGTGTGCAAGAACAATTTCATGGTCGCTTATACCGGGTAATAAATTGACAGAACTAATGAGAGTGCGTTCAGAACAAAACAACAATTCTAGCAC